CAAAAGTGTCACTAACCAGTTATCTCTGGAATCCATTCAGTTTTACCACTAGAAAAATGGGGCAGCCTTACCCCTGGCCAACCTTTAAGTTCTCTCCCATCTTCCTAAAAAAACAGTAAAGGCTCTCGTTACGGCTGATGCCTTGTAAGCTTGACTCTGTCTTCCCCCTAGTCGGGAGAATATTAAATCTTGTTATGCCACATGGATGTGTAAGGACCCAGAAAGATGGGAAGGTGCTTGGCACACTTAGAGTGCACCCATGGAAGCTGTGTGAATCCATATAAGAGCCTCAATACAGCAGCAAAGTCACATTCTGCAGTCTCCAAAGTGACTGGAGTGCAGGGGAGATGAGACACCATCTGTGATCACAGTGGCTCCCAGTAGAGCAGAACTATAATCCTGGTGCTGCAATTCAAAAAGCTTACAAGTAACCTCTACGAAACTGGGCCAGGGAACAATACAGTTTGGGCCCAGGCAGGGTCTTTTTTCTTTTTCTCTCTCTTTCTTTCTCTTTCTTTTTCTCTTTCTTTCTCTCTCATTCTTTCTCTTTCTTTTTCTCTTTCTTTCTCTCTCATTCTCTCTTTCTTTCTTTCCTTTGTTTCCTTGTTTCTTTCTTTCTCCCTCTCACTCTCTCCCTTTCTCACACACTCTCTTTTTTTTCATCTCCCCCTCTTTCTCCATTTCCTATTCCCTCTGAAACAGTGTGTTACATTTACTGTATCTGTGCTAGCTACATAGGAAGCAGTCCTATAGTCAGCTCATGAGAACAGAAGCTAGGATCCCAGAACAACCTAAAGTCTGTGCTGTCAGCTTCCTCCATCTTCCACTTTTTATAAATTGTATGGCTTATATTTGGTACACAGAAGACATTCCCACAAAGAAAGGATGGTAGGACTCTTTCTGCTCTTCCAAACCTACAAGAATGCTCTCTGCAGTTATGTGCAAGAAAATTCTTGAAGGCCTAAAGTTTTGGGATATACAAACATAATGCAAGTACTCATATTCTGTTCGCTGCAATTTTCTGTCTTATTTTTCCCCTGTGGAAACCAGGGAGGCTGCTGAAGCGTCAAACACTGATTAAACATGTGTAGAAAGATTTAGACAGGAGGATATTTACTGATACTATTATAGCAGAAAAACTAGAAATAAACTAAATGTCCAAAATTAGAGAAGTATTTAAATATATGATGGAACATCCATCTAGCACATTACTCTGCAGCTATTAAAAATCATGTTGTCAAAAAGCAGATGAAATAATATTCACAACATATTGCAAAGAGGAAAAATCAAGTTATCAAAACAAAATGCTATACAGAGGTTCACTTTTTGAAAAATATATTCATGATAGCAACTGTTACAGTTATAAATGGATTTTTAATTTTTTCTCTTTTACTTCTATGTCTTTTTCTATAGTGACATGTATTGCTTTGGAAATGATGGGGCGGGGGTAATAAAATCTTATTTTTGCTACAATAAAGAAATAGGAAAAGGGCCCTTCATTCAAGGCCATCTTGCAGCATATTGCTCACTGAACAGATAGGACACCAGCTTGGAGCCTGCTCTCCAATTCCTCTACAGTCCCAGGGAAGCCACCTTAACTAAGAACCATTCCTATAACCACAGCCAACCTCCAGACAAGCTATTGAAAATGGGGTTGTCCTGGCTGCCCTTCTATCCCCTAAAAGTCCTAGAAAAGAGGAAAGGGCAGCAGCAGGGCTGGTAGATTTTGCAAGCAGAGTAGCCACCCTAGCATAGGAAAGCAATCTCCCTGCCTCTCTGCCTCCTCCCCTGCCGCACCCTAGGTTTGCAGACAGCTCTCTTTCCAACCCGCAGGAGGAAGACAGGCAGATGAGTCATAGCCCTGGCTCACATCAAAGGAGTATTATTGTGTTAGCAGAAATGGATCTATTTTATTATCTATTTCTTGACACCTTACAAATAGATACATTTTTCCCACAAGACAGGCAATTGCCTTATAAAGCCAACAATTTGTTTATGGAAGTTACAGGACCAATGAAGATAAGAAATGAGTGAATCAGAAGAGCTGCCAGGCTGTAAAAGATGTAATGGAAACATTGAGGAAGGTGGTTTGCAATCCTCAGACCCTAGATTCAAGCCTGCAAAGTGATGCCATTCTTCCAAAAATACACGGAAGAACTACACAAATCCTTTCCTCTTACCTCCTTCCTAAGAGCTGTGTTTTTTATTTTTCTGCCTGCTTGCTTGTTTTTCTCAAGAGAAAAGGCTGGGGTAGTGGGATTCACCACTCTAGATTTCACTGTCTTTCATGGAGGTAATGAACTTAGGGTACTATTTTAAGAATTTCCTTCTCTTACACAGATTTTTCCATATTGGCGGGATAGATAAGGTATTTTTTACTGACATTCCTCATTAAACTCACACACATGCCAGTAGTCATTTCCCTTGTCTTGCTGTCCCATGACAACAGATTGCAAATCACAGAAACTTGGACTGTAGACATTGTTTAGTTTGGATCTCTCTTTCCCATTGTTTAATTTTACATTCAGTTTTTCATTTTCTGTGTGCCTCCTTTTGTAGAAAGGGACTGCTGAAGGAACAGATACTGTCTGATCCTCTCAGACTTCCCGGGACATTTTGGACAGTATTTCTTCCTCTCTTCTACTAAGCCACGAACTCATCAAAGACTCGCCAACTGACTGGCCTGTATGTATTGTAATTTGCATTCCCAGGGCTTCATTTACTAGTGATCCAGTTCTAGCACATGTGCTCCCCTGTTCTGTTTAGGGTTTTTTTGTTTTTTGTTTTGTTTTCTGGTGTTAGGTTTTCCCTGGGTTTCTATCTCCCTCTCTTTGTAACTAATAGCACCTGTCATTTAAAACATACAAGAAGCAAAAAAAAAAAAAAAAAAAAAAAAACCTTCCAAAAACTGCAGGGAAAGGGGCTCTAAGGGAACAGCAAATTTCACATTTCCTGTTGTTGAGTTTCACCATGGCCTGTAGCGGAAACAGTATCTTTTCAGTCAAATATGTTGCTATGAAGTTATCATCATTTTTCCTGAAGTCTGCAAAGCTATTATGATAAACATTCTAATGATTCCAGTTATTTGGTTTTTAAGCTTTTTTAGTATGAACTTGCATCCAATTTTTGCCCTTACGTTTTTTCTCACTTAAAGATGAAATTTTAAAATATTTTGTTTTTCCAGATGAAACCCATTATATTCAAGTATAAATGTTCCTTCTTTTATCAAACATGATCTGCAAGAGTAATAGCTTCCAAACTCATGATTTCATTTGCTTCCTTACAACTACCCAATGAAGACGCCCACACCTGAGGAAAAGGAAGGAGGGTAACTATTTGCCTAAGCACACTACTAGTATGGAACTTTTGGGACTATCTTGCGTAAATCCATCGAACTTTCAAGTTCGGAATCTGGGCATGCAGAAAATGTTTTCTGAGAACAGAAGGTATATTTGTATTAAAGCTGAGCCCACACCTTCACAAAGAAAATTCCCCCAGGTGGACCAGAGGCCAAAACTCCCTTGGGATTACAGACAACATCAGACAGCACTGATTTCAAGTCCTAGCTCACCCACTTACTGGACTTGAAACCACAACAAAGTGATCCACTCTGAGATTCAGTTTCCACTTGTGCCAAATGAGACAGCAAGTTGAATTCTACGAAATTATCAACTCTCAACCACCCCCACTCACCATCCCCCAAGCAAAAGCATGTTCAAATTGTTCAGTTTATATGAATCATTGTACAGATTAAAGGAATGTGCACAGGAAATGGCAAACTGGTCTTTTTAAGTCTTTCTCTTCCCTGACCCACCTCACACACATGCACACACCCAAGACCCAGAGTTTGCATTCTCCGTGCACGCTTTATGTTAACAAAAGGCGCTTGAGGCAGTGTAAATGCTGGAGCCATCACTCCAGAAAAACTGCGTGGATAATCAAAAATTAACAGCAGAGGTCACACTGCTCCATTTATTTCCCCTCTAGTTTGGTCTCTTAGTAAACAAATGCAGAAATATTCCCTTCCCTACCCCCAAAAGTAGGAGGAGGATGGGAGGGAGAGCGGGGATGGGGCCGGGAAGGAAGGGAGCCGAGGGAGTTGGACGCTGAGGAAGTTTAGAATTCTAACTCAAAAGGTTTTAAAATCAACTGTTGCCCCAAGGGGTGAGCAATGAGGGACGCAAAGTGGCAGAACTACTTGGTTGGTAGGACAGGTCTTATCCACCACTGCTGGCTTCATCTGCCCCCACCCACACCAGGGGAAGGAGCAAGCAACCAGGGTGTGTGCCCAGTCAAGTTAACTTCCCCCCTCGCTAGGTGCCAGACCCTCCACTTGAATTATCTTACTCTCAACATGCCTACAAGAAGGAAGCTGTCGTTTTTGCCTCCTTCCCCCGCCCCCCCTACCCCCCCGCTTTGCCAGAGAGGAAACAGACACAAGGAGTTCTAGTCTAGAGCGTCTGACAGTGGAGACAGGCTCCTAACCGGCGAAGCCTCAGATCTCTGAACACTCGGGACCTCTACCAATCTTAGATGAATAGAAGCACTTTTCCCCCCAAAGAATCCTGCAAACTCAGCCACACCGGAGGGAAGGGGATCAGCCTCACCAACCAGCACCAGTTCGACTCACTCCAAAGCTCCAGGCTCTGGTAGGGGAGGAACAGCGCCGCCCCCGGGGTATTTAACCCAAGCCTGGAGCTTGAGGGGCCGCTGGACTCTCCAGCTCCACAGTGCTAGCGCCTCCCCCTTTTCAACCCCCCTCCTCCAGCACACCCCACCCTCCACCCCGCGCTAGCCTTGCTCACTAGCCGGTGCAGGCAGCCTGGCACCGGCTAGTGAGCCTGGCTCTTGCCTCTGCTGAGCCGCCCCCTGACCACTGCTACCGCGCACTGCCCAGCCCGCGCCACCCGGTTGCCAGCAGAGTGTACCCCGCAGCAGCCCGAGCCGGGACGCCAGTCCGAGCACCCTACAGACGCCCAGGGGTCCGTGTTCACGCAGCCAGCGGCATGGATTCGGATTCCGGGGAGCAGAGCGAGGGCGAGAACGTGACTGCCGCAGGTAACAACCCCCTCTCCCACGTTCCCTACCCCTCCGCCAACCCGCCCCCGGGCAGTCGCGCTGGCAAGGCTGGAGCTGGGGAGGAGGGAAGGCCTGGGCAGGAAATCTGGAGTATTTCTCGGAGCTCCCAGGCGGGAGGCCAGTCCCCAGCAGCAGCCGGGTCCCTTCTAGGCCAGTGCTAGGGACCGCTCAGGGCAGAGTTTCCTTTGGGGTTCCCCTATCCCCTGAAACTGGGGCACTCAGAGGAAGAGGAGGTACATTGCCTGGCGACTCTAGGCGCTGAGGGTCACTGTAGGGGACTCCAGTCTCTTGCGCTGGGTGGGAGCTGGGAAGGACTGGGGAAATTTGTGTCCCGTAGTTTGTTGCAGGGAAGGTTGCACACATTTGCCTTCCGAAACAACTTTCCAAGCGCCGGCCAGGTCCGAGGACCAGGGGTCACGAGGCAGAGCAGGTGTCCAAGGGAGTGATGGGGACATGGAAGCAAAGGCCCAGCAAGAGGCGCCGACAAGCAGGGGACCCCAAGACAAGAGGGTCCAGAAGCATGAGCCGAGGGGATCCCGGAATTCAGACACAGGCACACGGGCAGATTTTACCTTCTGCAGGCTTTTCACAATCAATAGTTTTCGAAGTGGATGCTTATTTGGGAAGAAAATGAGTGTCCTCCCCTGCCTTTCCCTGATAGTAAGCACCCACAACCTAGGTCAACTCAATCACTAGGCTCTGCCCACCTCCACCTGCTGCTCGTATCCATGCACCTGCCCAGGTCTCAGGGTCCCACTGGCAGTGGCACAGACATGTGACCTGCTGACTGGGACCTCCTACTATAGAAGGAGGCCCTTATTTTGTATCCTCTTCTCCCAGTTCAGAGCACAGGGCTCAGGGGTGGGGACCAAGCAACAAGAGGCACCGCCATTCCAGGCATGGGTGTAGGGAAGACAGGTTCAAAAATCAGGCAGGACAGCACCTACTGCATTATTTTTGCACTTATCAGTACCCTTCATCAGGCATAGCACCCTGCAAGGTAGGTTCATCTCCATGCTGCCTAGGCTCAGAGCGGGGAAGTAGGTTTGCCCACATCTCAAGAGCCTGGGAGGAGCCAGGGTCCTTAGTACTGGGCAGTTGTAACCAATACCTTAGAGGTGGATGGGAGGGAATGGACAAGTTGATGGAAAAGGAGGTGCCCTTTGTGAGGATACATGTGCGCACACACGCATGCATATGCCTGTGGCCAGGACATCCTGCTCTGCTGAGCTGTGTGAAGAACCTTGCATGCCTGTTTCTGTGTTAAGCACTGAGCATTTGCCTCACAGGTGACTTGTGGAACTCTCATCATTTAAAATGTCCAGAAGGTGATTTGTGTTTATCGAAGTAAATTATTTTCAGAGCTACACCTGTCACTCTCTCCTACTGGTTGAGGTTAAAGGTTGCAAACAAGAAGGAGTAAAAGGAGGCCCAGGGAATGGGAGAGGGGGGAGAAACTACAGGATTCTATGTATTGAGGTGAAAATGGGGCGGGGAAGTTCTTACGTACTCTGCCATCTTCCCTCCCAGGCTGTCCTAGTGCTCACTTCCTCCGTATATATCCATGTCACTTTGGGCCAGGAGGCCTCTGCATAGCTGATGGCAAACACTATCACTGAGCTCAGGTGGGTCTCATAAAGGACAGAGCAGCCAGATTTAATAAGCTGTCACCTACAAATAATTTTCACAATTGTTTCTTTCTTCCTCCTGTGCTTGAGTCTCACAAGTTGAACATTTACTTTAATGCCATGAGCCATTCTGCTAACTGGCACTTATTCTCGCTCACTCATTAGTTTCAATCATATTCTCCTTAGTGACAAAGTTTCAAAACTGAATGCTAATTCACCACTTTGCTATGGTTCCATCCTGTCACGCCAATTTTCATGTTGCAGATTCAGACACAGGTTAAATGACAGGAGTGTCACCCATAGAGAATGACATGTGCCACTATAGAAAACTCGGCGCTTATCTGTGAACATGTATGTGTGCAAGCCGGGAAAGACAATGGGGTCAGTGGGGCCTCTTGGACTAGTCCTGTGTGTGCCTGTGTATGCCTACCTCATAGTGAGCTGACTTGTCTCTTCTCCACACCCTTCCTTTCCTGAACATAGGAAAAATCTCTGCTATCAGATGTTGTAACGATGAAGCTATACTTTGGAATCAGAAAGACCTTAGTTTCAATCTCCACTTTGTGGGTAAATTTTTTTAACCTCTCCAACCTCAACATTCCCCTCTGTAAAATAAAGATAACAATGCCACATGATCAGAAACCAGCTCATGAAAAGTTCTGGTCATAGTTCAGAAATCATCATTTAATGATAATTGCTGTTTGATTGTGATCTAACTAGGTCATGTGGCATAAGAATCCTGCTAAATAAACCAACCCAGTGTTGTATTAAATCTAAATCACTAGGTGTGCCTAAAACAATCTGTGGTGCTGTAACTACCACATTGATATAACTGCCTAGAGTGTTTTGTTTTAAATGTTCCCCTTTTCAATCTCTTAACTCTAACCAGTGTATGTGTGCATATACATATATATTTGTTGGGAATTATTCTCTTATTTAAACTTTTAAATTTCCATTTTTATTTGAAAGGCTGAAAGAGACAGAGAGACAAAAATCTTGCATATACTGATTCATTCCCCAAACACCTACAACAAACAGGGCCATGCCAGGCCAAAGCCAGATGCCAGGAGCTCAGTTCAGGTCTCCCAGACAGGTGGAAGGGACCCAATTATTTAAACTATCATCTGTTGCTTTTCAGGGTATACATTAGCAAGAATGTTGGATCAGAAGTAGAGTAGCCAGTGTTTAAACCAGACATTGTGATATGGGATGCAAGTGCTCCTAGTAAGGGCTTAATCACTGTACCAAACACCTGCCTTTGATGGGGAGATTTTACATTCATTTGTTTTCATCCCATCTTCCAGCCAAGACATGAAGATGAGGACATTTCAACCTGCTGCTTTCACCCTCTTTCCTCCAGCTCTACATAAGGTTTGAAAACAAACAAAAGAAGAGCAGAGTACACTATACAATCCACTTGCCAACCTGGAGATGAGAGGAATTTCTTCTTTCATTCCACTTAAATGAAAGACATGTCAAACCCTTCCCTTCTCCTCTCCACCCCACTGGTAAATCTTTTCCCTTTAAAACGGCAAGAGGTTCATGAGGAGATGTTTGCCTTCTCCCTTCCCACTTCTGCCCATCATGATTACTTTTCTGGTGCCCTGTTATCAGGGAAGTAAGGAAATCTTCACAATCACTAACTATACTGTACCCCTTGCAAGTGCCTCTTCCAACAGCCCTCCTGCTGCACTGGCACAGATCTTTCATCAAACAACACCATATAGCAAGGAATGAGGGGTGTCTGAACGGAGATTTACCTTGATCTGCATTTTTTATTTTTTAGAAAGCACAAAATGATGTGCCTTTCTGTCATTTTATGGTTCTTTCTATGATTAGGGAAAAGACAAGGTTTATGGAATACTGGATTCATTCCAGAGACCCAACTTGGCAATCTTCCTTCTGACAAACCTACCATCTATCCCTCAGAAACCCAACAGCCTGGTATATTAACTTCAGAATGATTGAATCTTCCCTAAGAAGTAACATGAGAAAAAAATATTAGCAATGTCAGCCTTTTTTCCTTTATTTCTCAGAAGACCACAAGGCAGGCTGCCCTGCAAAGGGCAGAGAAGCTCACTCCACCCACAAGCAGATAGTCCAGTGCAGGCAAGCTGAATGGGATTCCTTGATCCTGGGTAGGTACTGCAGAAAAGTGTTTCCATACGATGGATGTGGGATTTGACAGAGGAAAATGAACTGGGAAAATCAAGGCCCTGCCCCTCTACTCTACCAGGTTTCTAAGAGGAAGCAATATATCCTAGGTGACAGACATAACTTGAGGAAAAAAAAAAAAAACACACAAGTAAGCAAGGAGGCAACTGGAGTAGAGGGCATACATGGGAAGGGTCCTGGAAAATAAAACTAAGTGAGTATAGGGAGTGTTAGTTAAAAGATCATAATAACTTGGTCTGGATGGTGTCTGGAAAGCTTCCATGATTGGTGAACAGAAAAACATAGCCGAATGAGAGCTGGGTAGAGCCTTTCATTTCTCCATTTCTACCTGATGGATAAATATAAGGCCTTCTTGGGCTCTTCAGCCACCAGGGTTTGGCCATGTCAGAGAGGGTAGTAGCACTAAGGCAAGGCAGAAGAGGAAGGATACAAATGGCATTTAAGAGAAATCAACAACAGAAGTTGGTGACAGACTGTGTGGAAGTGGTGAAAGGAGAGGGAGAGTGGAAGGGGACAGTAGCCTGTTGGAGTAACGATGTCCAGGAAGTCAGGGAAGTATAAGAGACAGGATCCCTAGTGCCACACTCCTCTCCATCCTTCAGGTTCTTAGCATTGCTGGTTTGATTAACAGTTCTTTTCCCCTTTAGACAGATAACTCTATGGGCACATTGGTGCTGAAAGAATGTCAGATTTGATAGTTGCTGATTCCCACTGTTAGATCCACACAGGCTGTTGAGCAAACTGCTGACGGGCAGATTGACGGTGGGGATGGCCAGGGGAACAATGGGCCATTTGGCTATTAGTCAAATGCTCATTTCTGGTTTGTGTTTATTGAAACTTGCATGAGCCTGTGCATTGTCTACACAGTAAGCTGTGGCTGCTCTGAATGGCAGAAACTAGTCATGTGCTTCTTCGTGTTCCCCAGATTTTATGGGGAATAGTAAATGAATGAGCACCTTGAGGAGTCTCCTGAGAACTTTGCACTAAAAAGTCAGACAAGCAGCCAAAAACCTGTCCTGTGGAGTAGAACTGCCAGAGATTTCCTTTGGTGTTTTGTTTTGTTCCAGCATTTTAAGATTTCTTGTACTGTCTTAAACTTGGTTAAGAATTTTGGACAGTCTGTCCTGTACTCTAGGACTTGAACTTGGATGGAGAGACAAGACATACCGACAATCA